ATCCTTTGTCTTCTTTGGACTACTTGGAGGTTCATGGTTACTTATAAGTGGAGTTATAAGTCCCCTAATTTGGGTTACAAGTATAGTTACCCTACTTATAACCCCACTTATAACTACCTATGAACCTCCAAGTAGGTACCTCGGGTTCAGCGTTTAGGGGTTTGGGGTTTAGGTCGGCAGTTTTGGTACTCAGGCCATTGTCCAACCCACGCACACTTGGTTTAGGGGTTTAGGGGTTTAGGGGTTAAGGGATTAAGGTTAAGAGTTTAGGGGTTAAGGGGTTTAGGGTTTAGGGGTTAGGGTTTAGGGTTTAGGGTTTAGGGGTTTAGGGTTTAGGGTTGCCTAATGAAACCAACATCGAAGGTCGTGCGCTGGGACGAACGCCCGTCAAGGACGCCTGCCGGGGTTGATAGTGAAGAAAGAAGGGTTTAGGGTTTAGGGTTTAGGGCGTTTTGGCCAAACCCTAAGCCCTACACTCTACCTACAGGGTCATACCTTTCACCGTGTTTTTCCGGCTACGTTACTTTTCTATATAACATGTACAGTTCCTACCCATAAAACCACGTAGCTTAAAAAGGGGTTTTAGGCTCTAGACTTGGGCGTTTGTACTATAACCGCTTCATGAAAGTGAGGGTATCGTAAGAGTTTCGGACTGTTGGTTTGAGGCGTTTGGGCTTGAATTGTAGGGTTTAGGGTTTATGAGGCTTGAGGGCTTTTCGGGTTTAGGGTTTAGGGTTGAGGGCTTGCAGGGTTTAGGGTTTATGAGGCTTTAGGGCTTTTAGGGTGTGGCAGGGGTACTATTTTCCGCGATAAGTTTGGCTCAGTGGACCGAATACTTCCGATCTTCAGACAGATCCTGGTCGAAAGCAGCGCAAGCCTAGAAATGCCGCCCTTGGTGTTTAGGGTTTAGCTTGTAGGTCTGATCTGGGATTTAAGCTTGGGTGCTGATTCTCTACCAAGAAGGTATGCCGAGCTCATGCATGCATGCCCACCATCCGCCCCCCAAAACCCCATGACAGCAAACAACCAGGAACATTTCAACCGAAAAGCCATAAACGCCAGGCCCCAAACCCTACGCTTCACCCTAAACCCTGAACCCCCAGCCCTTAACTAAACCCTAAACCCTAATCCCTAAACCCAAGTCCCTACACCCTAAACCCTGAACCCTAAACCCCAAACCCTTATCCCTAAACCCTAAACCCTTATCCCAAAACCCTTATCCCTAATCTCTACCACCTAAACCCTACCACCTCCCCTCCAGGGAAATTTCAGCCGAAACCCTGAACCCCCAACCCTTAACTAAACCCTAAACCCTAATCCCTAAACCCTAATCCCTAAACCCTTATCCCCAAACCCTAAACCCTAAACCCTAAACCCTTATCCCTAAACCCTAATCCCTAAACCCTACCACCTCCCCTTGCTGTTGAGGCCCTGGGGCTCCATGGTTTTCTGCACCTCGGCGTGCGACAGATCGTGTGGTCTAGGGCTTAGGGTTTAGGGTTTAGGGCTTAGGGTTTAGGGTTCTGGCTCTTTAAAACAAGGCTTACGGTTTAGGGTTTAGGGTTCATAGGGTTTCGGGATCATATGGTCTAGGGCTTGTGGCTGTTTAAAACAAGGCTTACGGTTTAGGGTTTAGGGTGTATAATATAGGGTTTCGGGATCATATGGTCTAGGGCTTGTGGCTGGTTAAAACAAGGCTTACGGTTTAGGGTTTAGGGTTTATAGGGTTTCGGGATCATATGGTCTAGGGCTTGTGGCTGTTTAAAACAAGGCTTTCGGTTTAGGGTTTAGGGTGTATAGGGTTTCGGGATCATATGGTCTAGGGCTTGTGGCTGGTTAGAACAAGGCTTACGGTCTAGGGTTTAGGGTTTATAGGGTCTAGGGCTTGTGGCTGTTTAAAACAAAGCTCACGGTTTAGGGTTTAGGGTTTATAGGGTTTCGAGATCATATGGTCTAGGGCTTGTGGCTCTGTTAGAAACAAGGCTTTGGGCCTGGGGTTTAGGGCTCATATGGTTCAGGGCTTCCTGGCTCTTGTAAAGACAAGGCTTAAGAGTTTAGGGTTGCGGAGCTTACGGTTTAATCGTTTTAGGGTTAAGGGTTTCGAAGGAGGTCGACGAGAGGGCTAGATCTCAGGGATTCTAAGAAGTGGGTTTGAAGTTTCAGACGGGATCTATATAGAGGTTTAGTAGAGTTTAGCAGTCGGGAGTTTAGGTGACAGAGTATGTAGGGCTGCCCAGGCATATCGTGGTGTAACATCTTTGGTGTTAGTCTGATTTCTGTACATTACGGTTGATGGTATAAACCATGTATTACCCATAACTAAGGAGTATGCCATAAATCCCCATAGCTTAGGGTCCTTAAGGTAATGCTGGATTTGCATCATCAACCGTAGTGCATGCTCGAGAGGTCCTGCAATCTAGGAGTGCCCTCGATTATGGGTCTTGACAATGATGATCTAAGCCCTAAGCCCTAAACTAAGCCCTAAACCCTAAAACCTAGACCCTAAACTAAGCCCTAAAACTCATCCCCTCTGTTTAGGTGTTGTGTTGGGTCATTGAATCCTGGAGATTCTGAAACTCCGAGGGCTGTAGGCACCCTCGCATGCTCTAATTACGTTGTTTTTTCAGGTACCCAGAGACTCCAAAACCCTCCTAATTAAGGAATATACCTTAAATCATATTAGGGATCCTATTATAGTTTAAGGTATATTCCTTAATTAAAGGGTTTTGGAGTCTCTGGGTATGTTGTTTTTCAGGTATTGCGAGGAGACCAAGTCTAGAACTTCCCGAAATCCTCATCCCGAAACTCCAAACCCCTAAACTTAAACACGAGATTCGGCAGTGGTGAGTTGAGGTGGGCTTCAGTATTTCTGCTTCGGATTTAAGGTTCAGGATTGAAGGTTGTACATTGTAGCACTTGTGATGTAGGCTTGGGGTTGTGGGATACATTGATTTAGGGCATTGGGGCTCCGTTCTTCCTTGCTGGACCGTTAAACTTTAGCTGAATCCCTGATCTGTAAAATTCTGTAGAGCCCCTAAACCCTAAACCCTAAACCCTAAACCTTAAACCTTGAAACCCTAAACCCTAAAAGCCCTAAACCCTACAACCCCAAGGGCCCTAAATCTTCGACCCGTTGAAGCCCAAAGCCTTACGCCCAAGGCACTGTGGGTGCCTTGCTTCCGCGCCTGTCTCGCCTGGGTGCCTCGCACATCATTGTCGACGAGGTGTCTCCTGCTAGCCTTTGGGGTTTCGGGGGTTTTAGGGGTTTAATTAGGGGTTTAGGGTTTAGGGTAGCCGTGAGCCCCAAGCCAAAAACAGGTGCCCAAATAGATACCAACTTTATTCTGTAGGTCCGCCCACAGCCGTATTCTTATTGTTGCGGTCCCCCTAGCCTTAAATCCCTACGGAATAAAAAGACCACGTTATAGTAACCCTTACAGAATCCGTTGAAGGATTTCTTGAAGAAGTTTCAGAGGGCGTTTATGGCGCTTGCTGCAGGCTGTCTTCGGAGGCTGCAAAGGAGAGCCCTATGCTTCAAGGTACCTTATTTTCTGGTTCTTAAGGGTTTAGGGTTTAGGGTAGGCCCTCCCTAAGGCTCATGGACCCCCATAGAAAGCCCAAGCCTTAGCCCCCAAAGCCCAAACCTTCCCCTAGAAAACTCATAACAGCAATAAGAGCCCTAGGGCCCCAACTATGAGGTGCTTGGAAGCAAAGGAGACATCACGATGCTGCTTAGACCCCTCGGCCAGGGCCGGACATGGCCCTCACATTTGTTCCCTGAGCCTCTAAAGCACCCTAACAGACAGTGACCCTTACAGTAGCCCTTATAGATCACTTAACGGAAAATTCCCGAAGCTCCTAGATAGAGTACCCTGATAGGGAGACCTAGAGAAACCCTTGAAAATCCTTCAAAGGAGCCCCTCTAGTAAACCTTAAAGGAACTCTAAACCCTAAACCTTAAGCTCTAAACCTTAAACTTTAAACTCTAAACTCAGCCCTTAAACGAAGCCTAAACCCTCAACCCTATAAGCCTTAAACCCTAAACCTTAAACTTTAAGCCCTAAACCCTTAAAGGAACCTTAAAAGGAACCACCATAGCCAGGCCCATACTCGCGACATTCATACGGACTTGCTCCTCACCGTCTTGCTCGAGTGGCCTGGATAGGGATCGTTGATCCCAGAGACTCCAAAACCCATGAATTAAGGAATATACTTTAAATCATATTAGGGATCCTATTATAATTTAAGGTATATTCCTTAATTAAGGGGTTTTGGAGTCTCTAGGATAGGATTTGTGCTGGGGCACTAGGGCTCCGGGCTTAAGGTTTGGGGCTTAGGGTTTAGGGTTTAGGGTTTTGGTAATGTAGGGGCCGTAATGATTACCTATACTTTTTAAGTGGGTTCCTTATTATAACTATAGTATATTATACCCCAAAACCCTATTCTATTTATGAAGGCCCCTACACTTGGTACTTGGATGCTTAGCCTAGCCCCTCAGGGTTGGCAGCCTGCTCGGTTGCACTGCCTTGGCGATTGAGGTAGTGAGGTAGCCCTTTCTACATATGGGTAGTTCTCAGAATTAGGATCCCTTTTAGGGCCCCTTCTATAAGGGTGCCGCACTGTATTTGGGACGTATAAAGGGGCCTTAATTTAGAGAACTACCCATATTGAAGCATCTCATGTCACTCATACCTGAAACACACGCACACATTTACGTAGCGGATTCGTCCCTGCACCTGCCTGGTGTCTATATCCATCCTGTCTCCCTTTGGGGTCGTGGGCTTCTGAGTCTCAACGGCATTTAGGATGTCGGTCTATATAAACCCTAAACCCCTATAACCCTAAACCCTAAACCCTAAACCCCTAAACCCCTAAACCCTGATAGCCCTAAACCGGTGGGAGTTTTCGGTTTAGGGCTTTCTATGAAGAACTAGGTCCGCAAGCCTTTACCCGAAAGTCTCTAGACCCTACCTGGACCCGAAGAAGCCTACCTTTTGAGGGCTCCCTATTTCGGGTTTAGGGTTAAGGGTTTAGGGGTTTAGGGGTTTAGGGTTTAGGGTTTAGGGTTTAGGGTTTAGGGTTTAGGGTTTAGGGTTTGGGGAGGGCTCCCTATTATGATTTCCTTACGTAAATCCCTAAACGGCTGGGATTTTGGGGGTTCAGGTCGCCCAAAACACCTAAACCCTCAAAGCCCTGTAGCCTACGATAGCCTTAAGCGATGTTGATGTGCCTCCGCAAATCGAGTAACTTCTACCGGCTCTGTCATACCGCAACCCATCGCAACCCTATGTAAACATCTTCCCCTAAACCCTAGACCCTAAACTCCTAAACCCTAAACTCCTAAACCCTAAACCCTAGGCCCTAAACCCTAGACCCTAGACCCTAAACTCCTAAACACCAAACCCTAAACCCTAAACCCCAAAACCCTAAACCCTGGACCCCAAAACCCTAAACCCCTAAAGCCCTAAACCCCAAAACCCTAAACCCTAAAACCCTAAACCCTAAACCCAAAACTCGAGCGAGGCCCTGTTT